ATCTACAAAAGTTCTGTTCTTTATTTATATTATTGTTCTTTTTAAAAAAATTTATTCCCTATTTCCTCCTCATTCTTTTTTCCTTTTGACATTTTAATGCATCATGTCCATTACTATATTTCCTCACCAGTAGCTTCTATTCCATCAGCAGTGCTGCATTACCCTGGCGTTGGAGAAAATAATATGGAAAAAGTGCTTTGTTGGCACCAGCAACATGGACTATGAATTATACATACAAGCAGTAGAGAAATGCTGATGGAAGGTTAGTGCGTGTGCGTGTGTGTGAGAGAGAGAGAGAGAGAGAGAGAGAGAGTGTGCATGTGCATTTATACACACACAGGCTAAAAACAAAGGATGCACAGAATGTATTTTGATCTCATTTATGCTAATTGCAACTGTGTCTGTACAACAGAAATGCTCCAATATCAGTGCAGCTTTTATAGATCAATTTCACTGGACTAAACGAAAACTTACTTAAATTCTTTTGACCTTATTGTGACGTTATTCCACTTCTAACTATGGCTATAGTTTCTAATCTCACTATCATGCTCATCTTCTGGGAACCAGTAAGTCACCATACTGTCTAAAGAACTTAGTCTTAACTATCCATTAAGTATGGACAAAATACTGTGTGCCTGTTCATTGGAGAGAAAAAAAGTCTGTAACTTAAAGATGAGAAAAGAAATAGTTTAAGATTTCATTTCATCAACAGATGGGTGTAAGCACTCTTAATACAGAACCACACACATTCCTAACAGGTAAGCTCTTAACAAATGGGGCTTTCCCAAAAGTTGTTGTGGCGGTTGGCCATGAAGTCCTGCTTATACTGATGAAGGTGAAAGAATCTAGCAGAGACCCTACATGGAGAGGACGGAGCTTGAAGATGATGTCCGCAGGCAGAGGGGTGGGCGTTCCTTGACTAGGGTCCCCCATTGCTGGAGGTCTCTCTTGCACACTCTCGTTGCAATCCCTCCCCAAGTAAACAGGCAGCAAGAACTAACATATGGAGGCTGTCCTTCCAGTGTCCTTCCAGAAAATGCAGGGAGTAATCCAAAAAAGGCAGCACACGTAGCGTGTTTTTCTCTGTCCTTCATGTGGTGACTACCCTTCTTTATCATATCCCCCATAATCTATAATCATTGCCAGCACAAATTGACTAGATTGTCACTCAGCAGGTGTGCCCCAAGTCTGTATTTATCTAGTACTAGATCACATTTTGAAGAAATAAAGTTACTTCTTTAAAATGCAAATCCCCAGCTCTTTCCCCATAGTAAGCAGATAAAAGCGAGCTGCTTGTTACACAAGCATAAGTATATAAATAAAATAAAATAATGCCTTTAGGTAGAGCTCCACAGAAAAAGCAATTCTAATATATGGAGAAGCTGATTCTCTTTTTGACTCAGAAGAAAATTTAAAGTCCAGATCCTAGCACAAAAGAGAAAGCCTTGGGTTCTGCAACTGAAGGGCAGACCGCTGAGCTAGAATGATCCTGCAGGTCTTCATTTCCCTGAATTTGAGAGAATGGCTCAATTCAGAGCCAGTCCTGTGGATCCCAGAAGTCTTACTAGGTCGCATTAGAGTCTCTAAGGGCTCATGGTTCCTGAGGATTTGTCATCACATGCTCGTCAAACTGCAGGTGAACAAGAAATCTTAAAGTTAAAAATTCTGCTGCTTAACTCCTAAGCTGTTAAAAAGTAGAACCGCATTTAAAAGAGCACGAAGGCAATGCTACACCAAGCATTACTACAGAGACTGAACGAGACTGCAGTGACATTCTTGCCTTCCATCAGCACGGTCAAAAGGAGGAGCTAAGCTTCAGTTTCTTACATAGCTTTTAAACGACACGTCTTAGGTGACATGGCGAGCCGAGGACAATGGTGTAAATATCCACCCAGGTTTGGCATCCCCATAACCAGAATTTAAAATGGCCAGAGGCTGCAAATGTCTAAGCTGGATCCCAACTCCTTAATTTAGAAAAATGCTATGTCATCTTCTCTAAAATCAATGAAATTGAATTCTAAATTCATTCAATCTATTAAAAAAAATGCTTAAATTTACACAGTTGCAGCAGGCACTCCCAAGCACATTAGAGTAGAGTTCGCTGAGGTCAAAGACACTACATTCAAAGACAGGATCGCTTCTCAGCACACTAAAACTCATTTTATAGCAATTAGTTCAAGTATTGATAACTGTAGGTGCAGTAGCAAGAGGCTCATTTATTACCTCTCCAGTTGGATGTGTATTTTACAGTCAGCTAGTACTGAATCAAGTCTTCCTAAGGCCACACTGTTAATACTATGTGAGCTGGCTATTTCACAACTAGGTTTCTCAGTTTGCACACGCTACAGTCACATCTTCAACTGCTATAAAGACACACTTGGAATGTCTTTCACTACTGACACAAGACATGTTGAAAATGATGATGACAAGCATCTAGCTCCAAAAACGTCTGCTAATGTTGGGTGCCAACCTAGTAATCAATTTTCAAAAGTGTATAGTGGGCACTTACTATTACAGTAAACACAAAAATTCACAGACACTGAACAAATAGTCCCCAAAAGTTTTAAGCTGGGCATCTACAAACTGAGGAACTCAAAATGATACTAGAAAATATAGGCTAAATTTGCTGCCTTTTAACATATTAACTGAGAAAAAGCTATCACTTAAACGGTTTGCTTTTTCTGAAGGCTCACAGTGTCCATTTGTTACAGATCTGTACATGCACAAACACTTATTCATCATTATAAATATAGATATATTGCTGTGGAAACTATAATTTGATAGAAAGACTTAATTTTTTGGAGCTTTCTGTTCTTCAATGGCCTCCACTATGTTCCAGTCTCCAGTAACTGAACTGTCACTTGGTGTCCTGTGCTTACAGGATTTAATAAAAGTCTTTCCTTGGAGTTCAATGGACATATAAGCTCTTCAACATACAGCTCTTATCAATCAACTGACTTGCTGAGACCAAGACAGACAGAAAAAGGAAAACACTATTTTGCAGTTCCCTCACACTATCTTCCTGAAATTAAGGGGAATTACTAGAAGGCGTATTAGAGAGTTATTTTGCATTGCCTGCTATGAACTGTTACCCAGAACAAGAGTAAGCATTCTTGGCCATGTGAAATCATGGATACGGCTGGTTCAATAAAAAGGTCTTAAAACAATCTCTCTTTCCTTTAGTCTGGCATGCTGGATCTCCTTTGGGAAACACTGGCCTGTGAGCACGGGATGGACTAGCACACCATAACATTTTACCTTATTCAGTGGCTGCAGGAATTAATCTAAGCTTAATGTAGAACAGGCCTCAAGGTGAGGTCAAAGGCTAACTCAAACGATGTAAGTACATTTAGTATCTTCCCTACCCACAGCTTCTATTTTTTTGTTTTTATCTTTTCTAATTAAATGGGTGGTGCTCCGCACTGAGGATAACTGTAGGTATAACTGGCTGAGACTCAGATCTTGATCATCCAGCCCTGGTTAACTAACATTGATTTTCTGCCCCAGTGGAAGTGATTTTATTCTGATGCGTGCCATTTAAATTCATTTTACACAGCTGCTTAATGCGGCTTGGCAAAGCTGAGGCAAGCCTGCTTTCTATGTCTAAATGAGACTCCTGAGTTGGTAAAGGAAAGATCCTGTAGATTAGCAGCTGAAGATAAATGTCTCTCCCCTATTGATACTTTGCTACTGATTCAACAGTTGACACTGAAGGGGATCACACCAATTTAAACAAAAAGACTGCTGTGTAACCATGACTCTGGCACAACCACTTTATTTTCCCCTTAATTCTATGTACAAGGGTGTGTTTTATGGTCATAAAAATCCAACAATTTCTGAACCCCACAGCTCTACCTTATAAACTCAAGATATACAAAGAAGAAGGCTGGATATTATCCTTGCACTTTGGCATATATCAGTAGATGTCTTTCCAATTTTAGCAAATAGCATAGTGCAAGTTCTCTTCCATTTCACTGATTTTTGCATTGTAAACAGAAGAATCAGTAGACTTCTGTTCTGATTTTTTGTTTTGCTTTTGATTTTTTCGGGTGCACATATACAAATGAGGCTGTTAAGGAGAAAAAACAAAACAAAACAAAAGCAGCTATAGAAAACTGGTAATTAAAACTTGTTAATAACCGTAAGGGCAGCAGTAATTTGGGTATTACAGATTTCCTAGGGAAGCAATAACAGAAATAACATGATGGCAGGGAAGTCCATGAAACTTGAATCTCAGGTGGAGTTTGAAATTGGTGGTGAGCAAGCAACGGGCTGGGAGCCAGTGTACGTATTTTCCCTCAGAGCGGTAATTTATGATACAGTTATAGAAATCACAGTATGAAGAACTTTGATGAGAAAACATTAGCTGCATTTCAGGCTGATGTTTCAGATTGGATACTCAGTGCTTCTAAAAATCCTTCTAGGGACCAACTGAAATTTTTCAAACGCACGCACTCTCAATCACAGTGTAATAAAACTTGTTTGAAAATCCCATTAATAAATCCTATCATCACTTCTGCAATAAATCACCTGTCAAAAAGGAATTGTACTTCGTGGGAGTGGCTCACTGCCGGGGTAATAATGACAATAACAAGAACAACTCAAGAAAACAAAGTTGCACAGCACTTTTCCTAGACAAAAACGACAACACCAAGAGGAGAGAAATGATGCCTGGATTGGGGGAAGACAGCAGGAGAGGGAGGATCTCATTCTTTCTTAGTGATGAAGTTCTTCATTTCCCTCTCAGGCATGAAGGAAATCGAGCCATGCCAAAAGCCATGCAGAATGTGTGTGAGTGAGTGACATGCAGTTTTTCATCATATTGTCACAGTGGCGTTAGTAAAAACAAAACAAAAAAACTAAAATCCCCTCTATGATGCAAATATCTGTGTATCTTTCACATGATTTTTATAGTCCTTCCGCAGCCAGATGGCATGTTCATAAACATTAAAAAAAATTGCCAAGGTCCCACAGCAAGTCCAGTTTACATTGCTACCTACCCGTACTGGTCAGGCTGGTGCATCAAGGGAGCCTGAACGCTGCCATAGTTGGGGTGCTGTGAAGAAAACATGGGGCGTCCGCCAGCCCCAGACTGGCTGGGATAAGCAGGCGACCTAATGTATGGTGGCCTAAAGCAGAACAAAAGAAGAGCCTCTTTGGATTTGCTCTGTATCACAAATATGAATCACTGTCAAGTACATTCCTTCCATATACAAGTATGGAGGACTTGCAGGAATAGCCAAAAAGCCATAATGCTTTCTCCCCTACAACTGACTTGAGAGCAAAGAGGAAAATGGTGTGCTGGTAACCCTCTGGCATCAGAGGGGAGTGACAGGTTTCACTCAATTTGCAGTTCATTAATAGCCCCTTTTGCCAGTATTTCCAATAGAGATCTGATGACTGCACAGTCCTTCTATAGGTGCTGGATCACTGGAATGGGCAACGTGATGAAAAGGCTTGGAAATGGTGCATTTTTGCCCAGGCAAAGCTAGAAATCATAAGCAGTTTTACAAAACTGACTTGGGAGGAAGGTGTGAGACAGGAGTGGTAATCAATTAACCTAGTTTTTGATCAAACACCACACACTATTCTCAAAGCTATGTTGAATCACAACCAAATACTTTCCACTTATTGCAAACCAAGTCTTTTCTTGTTGTTAAGACCAAACGTGCCCTTTTCCTTTCATTACACAATGTTCCTGCGCTTGCAAAGATGGCCCATTTACTCCTTCTTGCCTGACCTACCAGCTTATAGCCTAAATCACACAGATGATAGAAGCAGACTTTTGTAAATCCTACTAGACAGGTCTGTTAAAACAACCAACACAAGCAAGAGATTGCTGGTTCACAGATTTCTGCAGGAATATGGTCTCTTTTAAGGGAGTTTGGTCCTATTTTACTGCACAAGAACATGAAGAACACTACACTTGCTGTTATTGTCTTAAAAGTTTTCTAGTGCTTATCGCTAGAAGCCACTTGTCTTCCAAAATCGCAAAAGAAGAAAGCAATAGATACAGGGACACATCAGCTTCCTATCTGTTTTTACATTGTGTCATGGAATTACCGCAGCTCTAGTGTCCAGAAACACTGCTCTTCGATGATAAATACTTGTATATGTATGTGTGCATCTGTGTATGCATATGCATAAATACATGCAAGATGCTTAATATACACACACACACACACACACACACACACACAAACTTGCTTACCAGAACAGTGAAACCAGCTATGTGTCATTCGCAAATGTAATGGAACTTCTCTTAACAGAAAAAGATAATAAACACACCAGGAGTTATTTGAGTTCACTGAAATGTGAAAATTACTTCATCTGAAAAATTTCCCAGAAAATATGATTTCATTGTGAATACCTAGACATCTTAAGAATAACCATGGAGAAGAAAATGCCTTTGCCAAAATCCATGCTCAAATGGCAACACGCAGTTAGGCTGCCCCGAAGGGGAGGCAAGAAGCCACATAGTGCCTCCAACCTCCACACTCCTACAGTTTGCAGTTCAGTTTGCGTCGGTAGCAGTTATCTACTCCAGATAACTACAGACTGCTTTTATGCCTCCTTCTGCCTTCCCTCTCCAGCTTTTGCCCTTACCACACCCTCCTCTGCCCACCGATATGCCTGCGCAGGAATAAGAACAGTCCCACAGGAGAGAACTGCCTTCAGCACTGCCGCTCACAACGTGGGCAGCAAACGCAAGCATAGCTGGGCAGCTTTGTAAGCCTCCTTACACCCCAGCAGGGGCAAGCTGCCTAGGACGTTGGTGCTGGCCCTCTCTCTATCAGAGAAAATACACATACTCAGCCAATCAATTTTCAGCTGTAGAGGGCTTATTTTGGGCTTCTAATGTCACCTTAACCCTGTAGGTTTTGCTAAAGCTCACGGTGCCAAGGAACAAACCGGAAGTGGCCATCATCTTCACTGTCACACCTGCTTTTTGAGAGGCTAATTCAAAAATACAAAAGCACGCTTTCCTCTTATATATAAAGAAAAACATTCTTCCCCTATGCCATTTCCTCCCAAAGATAAGGGCACATTAATAGAGTATGTATAAATGCATCTCTGTGCATCTATACAGTGCTGTTACTTCAGAAATGAGAAGAAAAACAATCCTACTTGCGTTAACTTCTTTCACCTGGACGCATACCTGCTCTGAGCGGAGTTTGCAGCAGCCTGCATCACTGCAGCAGCCGCCTCCTGTGCCTTACGGTTCACAGTTGGCATGGGTGGGCCCATCCCAGGGCCTCCCTGCTGAGACATGCCGGGAGAATTGGGGGTCATACTGCTCATGTTTCCAGGAAATGGTCTGCTCTGCATCCCAGCTGATGGCATCCGTCCCAGGGGCATGGTACCACAAGGCTGGCTTGGCCCCTGTCCATGCATCTGACTGTTGGCATTTATACCCATGCCAGGTCCTGGGCCACTGTAACTCGTGTTGGGCACGCCACTGTATGTTGGTGGTCTGGAATAATTTCCTGAACAAAACGATAAAAACACAGAGAAAAACATAAAACTTTTGAGCACATATTTCATTTTAGGAAGTTAGCGGCTGCAGGTCTTATATATACAGTCAACTAATGTGAATCACATGGGACTCAAGTCAGAAAAACTTTTCCACCATGCAGATAGTCAAACAGCCCAGAGAGGCTGTACACTTTCCCTCTTTGGAGGTTTTCAAGACCCAGCTGAATGAAGCCCTGAGCAAACTGGTCTGATCTCACAGCTGACCCAACTTTGAGTACTCCTGAGCATCCTTCCAACCTGAATTAGCCTACGAATCTGATGTTCTTGTGCCCGCAAACATTTTCTGCCAAACAAATTTCATGGGATAAGACCAAACACAGAGAAGCACAGCCTCTAGAGGGTTATCAAAATAGTACAAAAAGGTCTTGTACAGTAGAGAGATACGTGCCATGTTAAGAAACTCATTATATAAACTCAAGAGAGAGTCTTATTTTTGTGATCTCATGTTCTTATTTTTTTTATCTTTCTACAATTTCAGCAACAGGCTATTCTCACTGGATCCTTGCTCCTAACCGTTTTGTCCATTTATGGCAGAGAGACTATGGCAGAGAGACTGTGAGAACTGTTGCAAGGCCCTCAGGAACATTCCCTCTCCCTCCTACCCTATCCATGTTCCCGGTAAGTTCAACATTCAGCTGTGCCAGTAGAAGGTGTATTAGCTTATGGTGCACTCCTTCTAGGAAAATTAGTATTAAAAGAGTAAACAGCAATATTACAAAGATGCTAATATAAACAGGTGCCTTATTAAGGACGGCATGAAAACCCAGCTGACCCCAATCTGCATCTGCATTGTCACTGGAACAAACTGCATCATTTGTGGCATCTTAACTAACTTGAGTACTGATTTTCCTATCATATTTAAGACTTTTTTTTAAAAAAAAGGGCAAGTGGACTGTATTCAGTGTTCCAGAAACAAATCCAAACAGCATAAGGGGGGGGGGGAGAAAGATGTGATAGAAAAGTATTTTAAGAAACAGATCACATTACGCTCCTTTGGTCATCCATTTTGATTTGTCTTTATTTCCATCTCATCCAGATTAGTGGAAATACAAGTCATTCCCTCCCTATGGGATGCCACAGAGCAGAATTTCCTGACTACTCTTAAATATTCCCACGCTTATTTAAAGGCTGCAGCCAGTGGACTCTTCCTCTGAACATGGAAGTAAGATATGTCTCTCCTCCAGACCTCATATTACCAGACAGAGGAGTTGGTTGTATGCAGCTCCTGTTTATGTTTAAAATAAATATATTCATTCATCATTTGAATGTACACATAATTAATTCATACACTCCTGCTGCAACACTTCGGCTAATTCTCCTCTGCTCCCCACCCAGTAACTGACTCTCTTACAAGTTCTCTGCAGCAAAAACACGTGTGACCTATGCTTTCCAAGGAAATGGAACAACACTTCACCCTTGCTTTAGAAACCCAGTATCTATGAGTGGTTTGTTTTTTGTTTTTGTTTTTTCCCACAGAAGGGTCCACAGTGTGTATGGTTTAGCAGAAATGAAAGACTCCAGATTTAGCTATATTCTGAATGCAGAGTACCCTGTCATTTCTCCTCTTCCTCCAGTCACAGCTGCTGTCAGCTGACCATTTTCTGTTCAATGAGCAATCACTCCTAACGAATATTTTCATTGCTAGGACCTATTCAAGCTACGCGTCTTTGATCCAACATATGTGGCCCACAAACTGAAGGACTCATTAGTTTCATATTGCTCTGCTTAATGTTAAAGTCGTAACACAGAACTCATGTTGCTCCAGTTTTCCAGTTGCTTTCTGCAAGAAAAATGTAATGCAGTAAGATGGAGTATATGTACACTAAAACATTATGCACAGCCAGTTAACACATTTTATGTACATGCCAAAAGTAAGACTGTTTCCAAAGTAGAGCAAATCCACTCCTTACACTGGCAGACCCAATATCCATAATCACTGGGAGCTACGGTCGGTCCAATTTACATAAGGCCAATTTGTTTTGTCATTTAGGGTCTACGAAGTACAGTTCAGCAGCAGACTTGGAGGAGCAAACAGCAATGGTAAATTCTATCCTTGTTTTGATGCTATTTTGAATTGAGACAAAAAAAGAAGCAAACTCTTCTTTCATGTTTTGGCTTCTCAACTGTAAGCACAACACACACACAAAACAGTGGAATCTTCTCCATAAAAATATGTACTTCAGTTAAAATAAGTTCTTAATCATTCATCTCCAGGGATACAAGTCCAAGAGCACAGGGAAGTGGTATCTTTTCAGAAAGGAAAATAAGTTTCAATGTTTTTTTCCATGTTTTTTCCCCCTAAGCATTTCCCCAATACCTCAAGTACTAGCTATTCTTATACCTTTCCCAGACCACAAAAAAAGGCAAAATAAAAGCCAAACAAAATACAAGAGGAATTGCCAAGAATGAGGAGTGCAATCTTATTTCCATGTTTCTCTAATAGATTAGTAATTTGTTGGCAGTGGCTTTGACAGAAAACAGATGGATGCAGCATTAAACACAATGAATGCAGCAGATGCTAGGCCAGCCCACATCAGCTGGACGTGTCAGGCAGCCAAGTCCAAGAGCCCACAGTTTCAAGTGGGTACAAGCCTGGCAGCAGCGACTGTACGATACCACTGAACAACTCCTCCCCTCCATATCTGAGCGATTTTTGATTCCAGCTCCCCCCAAGCAGATTAGAATTGTACCTACGGACATGACAGCTCAAATGCACGAGGAAAATCAAAATGATAACTAGAACCAGGAAAGAAAAAAAGTAACAAAGATGAAATACAAAAAGGCATTATCAACAACCTGCCCAAGACAGATGTTCGTACTTACTGCTGAATCTCTGATCCACTTTGTCCAGGTTTGCTGAACATAGTGCTCTGATACCTTGCCATTTCTAGGCAACATGAAAAGAGGGAATTTTCAGAACCACCTGTTATTTTTCCTCCCTGCTTTAGAGACAGAGGCTAGATTCACAGTATTAAAAATAGTAGCTCAAAAATATTTTAAAATCGCTTACATGTCCACTTAACCATCAAGTTTTCCTTGTACAGATACAAACTATTTAAAAATATTCCTCTGAAACTATTTTGCCTAAGGGACCTCAGTAGTTAGGGTAGATCTCTAAGCAGCAATTCCACAAACTGTTGCATATGTGCGACTGGATTCTGAGGCACAGATCGTCAGGATGCTTTGGGCATCTCATCCCTGATTACCACTTTCATTATAATCTAGGCTCCTGAAATCAGTGGGAGCTAGATATTAAAGCACTGGTATGAAATGATTTTTAGTTCATTAAAGGTTAGAAAGCACAGATACTCATTTGACACGAACAAAAGGGCATTTTGTTAACTTACGGTGAAGTTTTCGGATAGGATTCAAGCGCATTCAGCAGTGGTTTATCTTGTTATACCCAAGCAGAGCAGTTTTACTATTGAATGCAGTAGGTAAAGTTATGGCGACAGGATGCATTTTTGACACCTTCTACTGCTCCGCAGTAAGTTTTTCTCTGCCACGGTCTTAAAAGACCCAACTGACTGTAGTATCCAACTGTTCTCCAGAGTGCATTCAGGCGACATTTTGCTATGGCAGCAGTTTCATGCTCTGATCATAGACCAGGACTTCATTAGCTCTCAAGCTAAATGTTGCCCAAATACAAACCAGAAAGACAGTTCCTTTCCGTAACACCTCCCTTCTCATTGTGCTTCTTTTTATTCTTGGGGAAAGAAAAATGGTGGTGTTAATTACAAATTAAAACAAATGTACGACATCATTGTACGCTCCTGTGGTATATCAGAGGCATACAGAAGCATACCTTGAAATTTGGAGCCAAAGCCATTCTCTGTTTTTTGTGGAAAATGGTTCCACAGCACTCCACTAGGTCCCCAATACAGGAACTGCTTCCCGAGCAAATATGTTTTACTCTTATCTAAGTGTTATGAAAACACATGAGAACAAAACAGATCAACCATAAACAAGTGATGGATGAGTTTACTCTGTGAACTAGGAGCTAATTCCTCCAAATCCAAACTTACTGGTGTAATTTTCACTGTGGTGAGCAATTCTATCGCAGAAATAGCCTAACTTCTTGAGCAACAGTTTTCAGGACTGAGCACATAGTGAAATACGACTTTTAAACCAAAAGTTTGATGTCACAAAATGCTTTAACACATAGGTAAAAATACAAGTAGTCCTGTTCAACTCAGCCTATGCTTAACAATATTCTGAAGGAAGGCCTATGTGAACAAAATATGAAAAGCAAATATGATCCTCAGAATCATTTTTGTTTAATAATTTATCAACTTATTTGCAACTCAGGTAATTTTAATGTATTTGTTATTTTAGCAATAAAAGGCAAAAGGGGTTAACATTACATATGCATTATTGCTGGCATATGATTGTGCTTTGTAAGAGGGTATGTTAAGAAATGCATTACAGATTGCTTTCATTAAAAATGGAAAATACTATTTATTAAAAAGCTAAATCCAGACAAATACATGACTTTGAAATATCAGTCACATTACAATTAGTGATGTGAGATGACCAGATTCACGCCAATATTTTATCAATGGTCATATTAGTCTGGTGAAAAGGCAGTATTCTCTCCTCTACTTGTTACCCTTTGAGCTGTTTGCAGGGCCTTACTTTTACAAGGACTTTTACATGGAATCACCAGTACCCTCCAAAAGCTGGCAGAAGAGCATGCTTTACATCTATCACACTATTCAGCAGACCCTTCTGAAGTGGCTTGTTAATGACAATGATGCTCATTTTCTTCCTGCCCCCTCAAGTTCACTTTTTAATAGCCGTTTCTTCCTGACCACGACCCATAAAATCATTACATAGGCACTTTCATCTACAGAGAGAGGAGAACTGCTGAACTCAAGCAAAAAAGAAAGTAGTATTCGGCATGTTACTTAAATGCATTGATTTAGTACAAAAACCTTTCCATTCAATCAGTGTGGATGGCTAATGCTTTACTGCACTTGACACCCACTATTCCCAAGGTTCAGGATCTCAGCAGCAGCAGTACAGCTGCAAGTCAGCGTAGCACATCATAAATCCACTGGATTTTACCAGTTAAGCTAGTTGCTCTGTGCAGATGAAAATAAGCACTTGGACAGTATTTTATGGCCACAAAATGCTTTCCAAATAAAAGAAAAGCACCAGTCAACTGGAGTCAGGTAATTAATCCTCACACATGGCTATAAGGCATTACTATCCCCATTTTACAGTTAAGGAAAGTGAAGCAAAGAAATGAATTTACTTGCCTAAGTTGAAAGATGGAGTAAAAGGCAGAGTCAAAATTAGAAACTAGGAGATCTTGGCTTACAGTCCTGCACTCAGAGCACTAAAACAAATGCAACCCAGAGGTGAAAATGAAAGGATTATTGCGTAAGACTCCCTTCAAACGAACAACGGAATTAGCCCTCAGAAAGCCAGGAGACTAAAATAACCCTGCCTGCTAACACGGGCAAGCCACTGAGCCCTTACAGAATTTCCCATAGCAAGCTACAATTCTGTTTAAGGATTTTAAGTAACAAAGCTGTTGTAGGAAGTGCTGCAACAAACTATTGATGCACCTCAAAATAAAATACCGTCTCTTATATATTCTGTGGCTTGACTTGAAGTTCATTAAAACCCTAAAAAGATGCTTTATAAAGCATCTTTTATACCCCTGCTTTATAAAGGTTATCCATTAAAGGCAAAACAATAGACAAGTTCAAGGTTGTGTGCGCTGAATGTCCGAGGCAGATATTGTTTCTTCTATTTTTGTTTTAATCCTCCAACAATTCTGTCAAACACGTAAAATAAAAGGAGCTGTCTCTCTTAGTCTGAAGGGTTAGTTAAAATTCACAAACCGTATGCATTAGAGCTCAATATTATATTCCCACAGTAACCACTGTATTATTATGCTTGTTAGAAGACTTTAACCCTCACAGTCACTACATAATTTCAGAGTGGCCTTGGGATTCCGTCTAAGAAAAGAAGTCCTATTTTGGGATCAGTGCTGTGACCCTTATTCCATGCTTGGTCAAACTCAGCCTTATCTTAGCGATGACATACTTGGGCTCCCAAACAATGGCCCTGGTAACGCAACAGCTTCATCATTTCCGTGTCCAGTTTAGGATCACTATTTTTATACAGACAAAGATGCTAATTACAGAAGAAGCTTCTTCCACAGGGTGCAACTTCACCTCAGAATGACAGGTTTTTTTTTTTAAGGAAATCATATACCTACTTGCCTACCTACATACATATACGCTATACATATTTTTTACATATATGTATAAAATTATCATACGGATTAACAGCAAGTTTCACGGTTTGTTATTTTACCTTGTGGTCCATACTGGCTCATCTGAGGCCCATAAGTACCACTTGAATTACTCTGCTGAAAGCTACCAATTCCAGGATGTACTTGGCCGCCAGGTGAAGGGTGTGGTGACATGGAAGGTCCAGTTTGTTGAGGTCCATATTGTGACATTTGGGGGTTCCTCTGTATGCCTGCCATGAAACCTGAAGTGAAAAAAGCACCAAAACAGAACTTAAATAAAGAACAGTCACCTGAATATTAAGAAATCCTTGGCATTCCGAAAAACCTTATTAGTTATTTTCAAACTAAAGTTACCCTGAAAACTGTTACTGCCCATATCAAACAAATAGAAACAGAAACAAATGTATCTCCAAGTCAGTAAAGGTGTCTCCATAACCAAAACCTGTATACCAGGCTCACAACCTTTTATTTTTAAAAGAAAGACAGTGGAGTCGGCTTAGTTACAAATGGAATGTTGATTTTAAAAACTAAAACTTTAGAAGAAAACAATCAATGGCAATTATCTGCACTAGCTAATAAGTAGTGAATCTGCCTGAAGACTTATGGTAAGACTTTGTATGCCATACAAAATTATAATTTTCTACCAAAATATATAGCCTCAGCATATAAAAATCCATTGTCAATATTCTTGCATGCTCGCAAGAGCTAAAATTTCCCGTTAGCTGAAGACCAGACATACCTGCCGGAAAAAAAAAAAGTCATTTTGGTCTATATCTTTGCTTTAGCTCCTTCTTCTGGTCTGTCATCAGCATATCCGTATTGCATTATCTCGTTCCTCCCTTCCATAAATGTGTTAACGAAATCCAATTTAATTTAGGGTTCAAAAGCTAGAGCAAGAGGCCTAGCAAAATGCTATAAAAAGTGGAAGCTTCATACAAAAGAATAGGACTAAGCCTATTAAATGGGAGGTAGAAGAAAGTATTTGAGGATTTCTTTCTTTCTTTCTTTTGTTTTTTGTTAAGTTTTCATAAACTGAGAATAATCTTGCCCACAAAATGTCTATGCAGGGTTACTAGTTTTGTAACGTTTCACTCTGAAAGGTTTTGGTGCTGCTTTCAATGTTGAAGACAACGTGCTGAGGAGACAGACAGTTATTTTCTGATTTCTTGAGGAAATCTGATTTCTTTTTTGTCCTGTTTGCATATTAAATTTTGTCTTCATACTCCTCTGTGAGGCAAAATGTGGGTGCACTGAAGTACAGTATTGGCTCTGCTGCAGCTGCCCTTCTCGTGGTTTGTGCGCGGCAGCCTGCCCGTAGCGCCGGCAGGGGACATAGCGTGCATTGCTGCAACTCAGAGACTGTGTTTGAGTAAATCCGCATTTTAGCCTATCTTGTAACTCGTTCAGGCACCCATGCTTTGAGACTACAGAGAGCTGAAACGTTATTTCTGAATGGTGCTTGTTTTCTTTTCCCTCCATCAGTTTCAGTGGAGTGTGCATGGGGAAGTACGAAGTTGAAAGCTAAAAGACCCCTCACCTATCAGCATTAATTATGCCTTTCCTTACACTCGTGATGGAATAGAAGAAAGGTAAGAACAAAACCCCCAGACAGTAAGTGGACAACTGGAAGCTGCTGAAAGGAAGATTAAAAAAAAAACAAAAAACAAGAAAGAAGAGAGGCAAAGACAAGTGATGAAGAGAGTGAAAGGAGGAGGGAGGAAAAAAAGGCAGAAAGAAAATTCTTCCAAAGTGTCAGAATATCTTCCCAACGGTTAGTATCAAACATGACATAGTACTGAACATTCAATGCATGATTAATGAAGACAGGTAACACAGTTCCCAGACTTTTTTTTTTTTTTTCGGCGCTATGTACAGACATATGATCAAACTAGTAACTGCAAACACCACGGCGCTGCAGCTGCAGGGACGAGCCAGCAGCCCGCGGAGCCGGCTGGGCGCTGTGGACAGCGGGCGCTTCCCAGACCTCTCTGTGGGAACCGCGGCTCTGAAAAATGCTGCCTGCAACTTGCAAGCACAAATTTCAGATTGTGCGCTGCTGCTGCTGACATCCGAAGGGACACTGGGTGAACAACCTTCCCACTTCCCTGCCTGCCGGCTTCCTTGTTTGTAAGCTGGTAACAGAGCACTTTACAAACGGGGACAATATCTCTGAGTTCCACCAATGAAAAGTGGTAGGCATTTTACTGGAAATTAGACTTGAGTCCGAACAAATGCAAACAATTTTTAATCCCTCCACAAACCTCTGTTATACATCCACGAACGCCCTATCAAGAGGGCAACAAGCTCAATGTCAACAAGCTCACACATGGGAGCAATGAAGGTTTCACACCCCTTTTGCCCCAGAGTTCTTCGGTGCCATAAACAGTCCTACTTATAATACACTAAAACTGTAACAATCGCAAGTTTTGTTAGAATAAGCAAATAATCTTTTTGATCTTTCTGTAAGCCCTAGACAACTGATTTGATCACATTAGAACCGTAAAATCAGAGCTTGAAACCGGTTCTAGAAGAAGCTGAACACCACGCACTGGAGCATGGCAAGCCAAATAACTGAAAATGAAATGGTGGCTTGAAAATTGGTAAATAATGATTGGAAAACTCCACACTATTGCAAAGGAGAGCTCAAATGATCCTTTCCATTTAGCTTTATTTTGAAATAGACCCCTCTATTTTTAAAATAGTTCTACTCTACACACAAATCTTATCACAAAGCCTATGGTCAGCAGACCGTACTATAACTAATTAAAAAACCTAACACAACAGTACATCTCTATGAAAAAAATGTTCACATTCCAGACACACATATACCTTATATATCACACGCACGGGATCCATTTAAATGAAAAATTTTGTACAGGTCACACTAAGTTTTTTATTATAAAGACAGTAAACTTACTACTCTATCTAGTAAGGAAGTAAAGGTTTTCGGTTCACGAGATAACTTTCCAAATGTTGTGTTAGCGATAAACAGTATTCGGCCCAGGTATTATCACAGGCAGTACTTTTCTGAACATCCCAAGGATGGGTGACAATTGAAAAGCTATCATTTGCATCGGTTGCAGCGATTTCCGGTACCCATGCAGCGGAACTGCTAGTTGAGGAGTCTAACAGAGAGCAGGGACCTAAGCTTTAGCTAGCTCTGCTGTTGCCAGAAGGGCTCCTGAAGAGACTGCAGTAATAAGTGAAGTAAATGTTTCCATTCAAATGACCTCTTTTTCAGGAAACTTGTTTCACTTTCGTGATGCTGTGGAGTTGACTGCACGCCTACATGTACAGTCATAAATAAAACACTGGGACCTGGCATGGTCACCTGGCCTGGAGAGCGAGGTGGCATGCTCGTGTCCACACAGCTAAACTTCCCTACTCAGTGGTGACAGTTTTATCCATATAACTGTTGTGCACAATCCCTTGTGCTGCCCCGTCCATGCCCTGGGCTCTGCCTCAGGGAGTGCTCGCATGCACCGGCTAAAATCATGCTGAAGGGCATACTAAAAACTAAGCTGTAACGACAACTGCAGGATGCTGCTCCAACTTGTGCTCTGGCCTTAATTAACAAACTGAGATGTAGCAAGGAACTTTTGGGCCTTTGATTAACACAGAAAGAAGAGAACAGAATCTCTAATGGCTTCTGACACGAGGCACAAGTCTCATCACCTCAGAGGGTATAAGATCCTTCTCAAAAGGGTTTGGCTTTGCTATTTTCTCTTGAGCATGGATAGGTAAAGAACTAAGGGAAAAAGGAAGCTTGAAATCCAGGAGGAATATCCGTGCCATATGATCTTCATCTGTCAGATAAGCTGAAGCATGGTCTTAAAACAGGATATGCTCCAACTTCTTTTCAGAGAACAGAGGAGTCATTCCCGTTATAAATGTGATGTGAAGAAGAAGGTAAGATCAGGTCGTTAATGTGATCTGGATTCCCTCAGAACAAAGACGGGTCTGTTCTGATCTACCTTAGTGAGAGCATAGTGACCCTTCAGAAATCAGTGCAGGAGTCTGAGGTGCTTCAAACGTTTGCAGGAAGCTCAAATGTCTTAGAAACAAAAAAGGGTTCATGGTCAACACATTAACTTTCTTGCATCAAAAAGGGAAAATAACATCAATTCTAGAAACCTTATCAGAAATGAAAGGGAGCAGCTGGCATACATTCATTTCTCCTTATTTACACACATTTCCCCTAGTGTTCAACTTCATTTTATAACCGATACAAAAAGAAATAAATTTTCTTTCCAGAAAATTAGATCTAAGATAAAGTTTGCTTTTGTAAAGAAAGGAAGCAGGATTACATTAGAACTGCACTGGAGCTAGGGCAGCGGAATGATTAAATAGCTAGACCACATCTGACATGTAAACCTCTGTGACAACAGTTTTCTTTTCCTGTTTTGTTTTGTATTTCTTAAAAAACTGTTAGGAAACAGCTGTGAGTTAAGTCTTTAAAAACTGCAATGGCAACATGCTCATCAGTGGACAAATCTACTCTCTTCCCTTAATATTAGTGATAAAAGAGGTGCAGATGATACTTTACTTGCCATCACAACAAGATATCACTTACCAAGAAAAACTTGAGTGGAATTTGGCAAGCTAAGCTATTTCAGGAGCGCTGAATAAAGTGAGGCTGTCAGAAGTATATTCTTATGTTTAATAGTTATTTTTTATACTATATTTATTTCCCGAAACTGGGATTTTATTAAATCCCAGTTAATGTTGCAGCGTCATCTTTGCATTTTTAAAGTTACAATGAAACACTAGCATACTATTAACAATTAGTATACGATTATAATAAAATGTTTGTACATTCAGACAGAACATACATACAACGTTCCAAAAAGGTCCAGTAGCTGCAGACTTTCTTCTTTCTTTTTAGCAAAATATGGAGAAAAAATACAGAGCAGGTAACATCTTATGATATTTATGTTGTAAATATTCTCCCTTGAGAAAGGAATAGACAAATATAAAATTTACATTGTCCTATACATCACTAATAAATGTAGGTAGTATATATCCCGTAGCTAATATTATATACGATGCCTTTGCCAAAACATTTTAAAAATCTTATATTCGCTTTATGCACACATATACATACACCCGATTAAGAACAGTAAATTACTAGAGCTTCAAGAACTAATACACTAAGGTTCCTAAATCACATTTGGTCATCACAATGACCAACACAAAACCCTCTGGTTGTTGAATACTGTGTACTCAGCGTTAACCAATTTAT